AGAGAGAGTGAGAGAGGAGAGAGAGAATTTTTAATATTTATTTTTTAGTTCTCGGCGGACACAACATCTTTGTTGGTATGTGGTGCTGAGGATCGAACCCAGGCCGCACGCATGCCAGGCAAGCGCGCTACCGCTTGAGCCACATCCCCAGCCCAGCACTTCTTTTTTTAAAAATTTTTTTTCTAGTTGTAGATGGTCACAATATCTTTATTTTTATTTATTTTTTTGTGGTGCTGAGGATCGAACCCAGGGCCTCATGCTTGAGAGGCAAGCGCTCTACCACTAAGCTTCAACCCCAGCCCTTATTATCAGCACTTCTTAACAGAATAGTCAGTGGGAAAAAAATGAGATAATACTAATGCTGTGATCTTTCCCTATCTTCTATTACTTTGTTTAATTAAGAGTTTATCCTGAAGTTGAAATATCAGTGTAATCTTTTTTAATATTTTTTTAGTTGTAGATGGATATAATATCTTTATATATTTATTTTTATATGGTGCTGATGATCAAACCCAGATCTTCACACATTCGAGGGAGGAGCTCTAGCACTGAGCTACAGCCCCAGGCCCGAAATATCAGTGTATTCTAATCACTAATCTATGAATTTTAAGAAGATAATACAGATTTGCAAATCTTCATCCCATGAGATAAATTCTGCTCACTTTGTCTTTTAACATTTGAATCATTTAAAAATTGGAATATTGGGACTGGAGATATAGCTCAGTGGTAGAGCACTAGCATGCATGAGGCCCTGGGTTTGATCCCCAGCTCTGCAAATGAATACATAAAAGTTGGAATATTTAAAACAAAATTTGTGATATCTGATCTGTCATAAAACCTAAAGATCTGACAATCCTGGATCCACATGCCTATCTGTCAACAGTGAATTCTAGCTTGGTAGTGGATTCTCCCTTTAAATAGGACATATAGTTTTTGTTCACAACAAAACTATCCAGCATTTACCTTATCTGCCTTTCTCTGTAGGATTATAGTTCATGACTCCTGATTTCGCACATGGCATATTGTCAATGATACACTAGAAAATGAAATATTAAGCCATGCTGATAACCACTGTATAAGGCACTGTCCTTTCTGGAACATGAGTTTCCTCACTTATAAAATCAGGATATTATTATTTACTTTTAAGGTGGATATGATGAATATGATATTTTAGGCATCTCACTGCTTTTGTGTCTATAAGGAGAATTTTTTTAAAAAAATACAATTTTAAGAATTTTTATGCCTTCACTATTGCTTCCTAATCCATAAAATAAGTTGTATAGACTGTAATAGTTGAGTTGCAAGGATGATTAGTCTTCATATAGCCCAAATCCCTTATTTTACAGTTGTAGAAAGTAAGATGCAGAAAGGTTAGGGGACTTTTCCAGGGCCACATAGGAAATGGCACAACCAGAAACAAACCTCGTTTTATTTTTTGTTTCTAACTCTTTATTCTCTTGACAACATGTTCCTTATATCAGATTCTCTATTCCTGAGACAGGAAATATTTGGAGAGGTAGTAGGATAAATGGTTGACCCACTGTGTTTTCATTCTCTAACAGTGATTGGAAAACTTTTTCTTAAAGAACAAGATAGTAAATATTTTCAGCTTTGTCTTCCACAGTTCTCTGTGACATCTGTTTACCTGTCTTTGCAGCATGTAAATAGCCATAAACAATACTTAACTGAGTGAGGTATTGCCATGTTACCATAAAACTTCATTTACAAAAATAGGCAGCAGGCCACATTTTGCCCAGTAGGTTGTGGTTTGCCATCCTTCTCTAGCCATCTCTAATTGGTTATATAGCTCTATGGAAGACATGTGTTTATCCAGAAAATAAGGTAGAAATAATATGATTACTCAGTCCTGTATCACAAAGTTGCTATATGGATCAATGATTATAAAGTGTTTCCAAGAAGAAAACTTCTATGTAAATAGTCTACCCTATGAACTATTTTTTGTTTTTTCCCCTGGCAACCTGGCAGGACCCTGACCTCACTGTGCTGGCTGGGCCTGGTCTCCTGGCTCAATCTTGTCCATCCCAGCCAAAGCCGCTTCTGGGGAATTGGCGCCTTTGGGGTGGCGGTGGGCGTGGCATGGCCAGGGCTTTGTGCATACAAGACAAGCACTCTATCAACTGAGCTATATCCCTGGCCCTCTGTGGACTATTTTTTTAAAGTTTTTTTTTCTTTTCTTTTCTTTTTTTTTTTTAGAGAGAGAGAGAGAAAGAGAGAGAATTTTTAATATTTATTTTCTAGTTATCGGCAGACAAAACATCTTTGTATGTGGTGCTGAGGATCGAACCCGGGCCGCACGCATGCCCTGCGGGTGCGCTACCGCTTGAGCCACATCCCCAGCCCATCTGTGAACTATTTTTAACCAGTATAATTCATGGACATTTTCTTTAGCAAATTAGATTGCAGAGAAAAGAAATACAGGTTGGATACCTTGAGTTCCCTGTAGTAACTCTTGACTCCCGTGAGAACTCCATAGTGACATGGTATATGAGATGAGGTTTTCATTGATCTGTTCTTACATCCACCACTGAAACAACTCATAGTTGTTTTAGGCCTAGTTATGCCAACACCCTTAAATTTGAAACTACTTTTAATTTTTCCTATTTTTGCTGTAATATTTGATAAATTGAGAGTGATATTTAGAAGGAAGGGATTATTGTGTCTCAAAACATGAACATGATGCTGTTTTAGGAGATAAGGTTTTTAATTCACTGTCTTATAAGAAAAAGCAAATTATAGAAACAAAAGCCCCATCTATACAGTATGCCATATGGAAAAGAAAATCAGTTTTTGCAGTGAGAGGCAATAGTTCTGCTACGAGTTAAACAGATTACCTGTAATTTCTATTTAGGACTTATGACCTTTCATAAAATACATTCTGTATACTTTTGGGCAAAGATAGCATGCATAGAGCCTAGTACATACACTTGGTTATAGCTTGCCTAGTTCCCTACGGTATATATGCACAACGGGGGTTTACTCAGCCATGAAGAAGAAAGAAATATGACATTTTGTGGTAAATGGATGGAACTGGAGAGCATCATGATAAGCAAATTAAGCAAGTCTCAGAAAGACAATTATGTTTTCTTTCACATGTGGAAGTTAGAGGGAAAAGAAG